CCACATACTCCCCGAACGGCCCAAGACGACGAAATGGCCGAAATGAGGAGACAGATGACTGAGCTCAGAGAGCAGGTCAACCGGGCGCCCCAACAAACCCCGCCAGCACGGGTTGGGATCACCTCTCCCTTTACTAGGGAAATCATGAATGCCGAAATCCTGAAGGACTGCCGTCCCTCGACCGGCTTAGCATACGATGGGGTGGGAGATCCCCACGTACACCTGAGGAGTTACCAGGGTGGCCTCATGCTATTGGGGGCCACCGACGCGGCAATATGCAGGCTGTTCTTCAGTACCCTTCGGGGACCAGCCCAGGAATGGTTCGGAACATTACAACCCGGGTCGATCGGGAGCTTTGCGGAGCTATCCACCTTGTTCTTGGCTCAGTTCGCCTCCAGCACAACCCCGAAATTACATTTCGGGTATCTAACCAGTGTGAGGCAAGGGCCTAAAGAATCAATCTCCGGATTCCTCACTAGGTGGAGGACCGAAACCCTGAAGGTGACCGGCATGACAGATGAGACTGCCATCCTTCTTTTCACCGATGCCCTTCAGACGGGAGATTTATACAGGGAGCTGAAGAGAAATCCGGGGACCAGCTACCCAGACATCCTGGAAAGGGCCAGGAACTATGCGGCCCTGGAAGAAGAGATCAGGATAAGGGACCGAACGGCCCCGCAACCTCCCACTTCAAGACTGGCAGAACGTCTGGGACCCACACCAGCGACTGCAGCACCTCATCGAAGGACTACACGCTTCACCCCCCTGGTCATGTCTATAGCCGGTGTTTTCCACTTGGAACACAACGCTATTCCTCCCCCTACTGACACAAGGCCCGTGATGGGACCTACCCCAAGCTCCTACTGCAGATACCACCAGCGCAATGGGCACCTCACGAAGGATTGCCACGCCCTACATGTGGCAATTGAGGACCTGATCCAAAAGGGCTACCTGAGGAAGTATGTCAGCACCAACCTGAACGGCCCTTCCCCCAACCAGCGCCCTCCCCGATCCAATAGCTGGAAGCGGGATGCCCAGCGGGATGCAGAGCCCAGTAATGATTCATACCTTCCCCCTATAGAAGAGGCTGAGGGGTCTGGGAATCCGGGAAAAAAGCCACGGTTGGAGGTAAAAGTCATCTTTGGTGGAGGGGAGACCGGTGATACGGCCGCCGAACGTAAGAAATTTGAGCGCAGCCTCTATGTCGCCACTGTAGCTGCACCTCCCACAAAGAAGGGCCGCCTAGAGCCAATCATGTTCGGGGTGGCTGATTTACCCAACTCACCAAGTCCGCACAGGGACGAGCTAGTGGTGAGTATGTGTATAGACAACGCCTTGATCCACCGAGTTCTGGTGGACACGGGAAGTAGTGTGAACGTGCTGTATTTACGCACGTTGGAGAAGATGAAGCTAAAGAAGGACCAGCTGACCAAGCTGAAAACACCGCTGGCTAGCTTCACCGGCAATGTAATAGAGGCTGAGGGCACCATCCAGCTTCTGGTGGAAATTGGTGATGAAATTCACCGAGCGGCAGTCCGGATGACGTTTGTGGTGGTGGATATTGCATGTGCCCACAACGCCATATTGGGCCGTCCGGGGCTAGAAGATTTGGAGGCAATTGCCTCTGTTCGACACTCATGCATCAAATTCCCAACTGACACTGGTGTAGGAGTGGCTCGAACAGATCCTGCCATAGCCCGAACGTGCTACCGGGAAGCTTTGAAACAAATGACCACCCGGGGACAGCGGGGTAAACAGCATTGAGGTACAGACCCGGCGTACGGAGTTCGAGGGACGCCCCGAGCCAGCCACCCTCTTAGAATACATCGAGCTTGATTCCCCTCCCGATCGTAAGATTGCGATCGGGGTGGACCTTGAAGGGGGAATCAGGGAGGGGGTGATCGCTGTCCTGAAGAGATTCCAGGTCCTATTTGCCCGAGGACCCGAAGATATGCCGGGAATTGATCCGGCCCTCATCTGCCACAAGTTGGCCGTTCGGCCTGATGCCAGGCCAGTCCAACAGAAGAAGAGATATCAGGCGGCCGAACGGCGGGAATTCACAAAGCAGGAGGTAGCCACCTTACTGAGAATCAGGCACATTAGACCAGTCATCCATGTCGAATGGTTGGCTAATGTGGTCCTTGCTCCAAAAGGAGCTACTTGGAGAATGTGTGTGGACTACTCTGATCTGAACAAAGCCTGCCCCATGGACCCCTATCCTGTCCCACGAATAGACCTGCTGGTGGACGAAACGGCAGGATGTGAACTGCTGAGCTTTATGGATGCCTTCCGGGGTTATCACCAAGTCTTCATGCACCCAGATGATGCAGAAAAAACTGCGTTCGTCACCTCGGACGGCGTGTTCTGCTATATCGTCATGCCGTTCGGGTTGAAGAATGCAATGGCCACTTTTCAAAGAATGATCGGCATACTCTTCAAAGAGGTACTAGGGGTAACCATGGAGGCATATGTAGATGACATCCTAATCAAGAGCAGGAAGAAGGAGGATCATGTCCGGGATATGGAAAGGGTCTTCGGGATCATGCAGAAGGCCAACATGAGACTGAATCCAAAAAAGTGCGCCTTCGCAGTCAAGGGGGGCAAATTTTTGGGTTATATGATGAGCGAGCGGGGGATTGAGCCTAATCCTGAGAAAGTAAAGGCAATCATGGACATGGAAGCACCGCGGAACTTGAAAGAAGTTCAGAAGTTGACCGGAAGGTTAGCGGCTTTGAGCCGATTTATGGCTAAACTGGCCGATCGCGCCATTCCATTTTTCCAAATAATGAAAAAGGCCAACCCGTTCGAATGGACAGCAGAATGTCAGGCAGCTTTTGAAGAATTCAAATTGTACCTGTCTTCCCCCTGGTCTTAACTAAAGCAGACCCAGGGGAACATCTCTATATGTATCTGGCTGTGGCTGATCTGGCGGTCAGCTCTGTTTTATTAAAGGAAGATGAGGGTGTTCAGCGCCCTATTTACTTTGTGAGCAAAGCCCTGAACGGGCCAGAAACCAGGTACACCCTACTGGAAAAAACCATTTTAGCATTGATTGCTACCATCAAGCGACTGGCACCCTATTTCCAGGCACACCCAGTGTAACACCCCGGCCCCACCGGACCCGAGGTAGTTACTCCGGACCAATAGTACTGTCCTCACAAACCGCCACTAGCCTTTTACGCGCACTTTGTCCTCACTCGTGCGCGCCCTGAGAAACTTCCCAGGGAGTCACCCATCCCAAGACTACTCTCGTGCAAGCACGCTTAACTTTGGAGTTCTTGGCTAATGAGCTCCCTTAAAAGGAGATGCACCTTGTTGGTATGAGTAGTACTATTAATCCATTTATATTAAATCTCAAGTGTTACAATCACCCCCACTTAGGATCGCAACGTCCTCGTTGCGCCCTTGAACCAATCTCAAATCTCAATCAAATCCCAGAATCTTCCCCAGCTAAGTGCCCGCCCGATATCCAACGGATCAGCACACTGTCGCAGGGTTGCTCTGATACCATTTGTAACACCCCGGCCCTGTAGGACCCGAGGTAGTTACTCCGGACCAATAGTACTGTCCCCACAAACCACCACGAGCCTTTATCGCGCACTTTGTCCTCACTCATGCGCGCCCTGAGAAACTTCCCAGGGGGTCACCCATCCCAAGACTACTCCCGTGCGAGCACGCTTAACTTTGGAGTTCTTGGGTAATGAGCTCCCTTAAAAGGAGATGCACCTTGTTGGTATGAGTAGTACTATTAATCCATTTATATTAAATCTCAAGTGTTACAATCACCCCCACTTAGGATCGCAACGTCCTCGTTGCGCCCTTGAACCAATCTCAAATCTCAATCAAATCCCAGAATCTTCCCCAGCTAAGTGCCCGCCCGATATCCAACGGATCAGCACACTGTCGCAGGGTTGCTCTGATACCATTTGTAACACCCCGGCCCTGTAGGACCCGAGGTAGTTACTCCGGACCAATAGTACTGTCCCCACAAACCACCACGAGCCTTTATCGCGCACTTTGTCCTCACTCATGCGCGCCCTGAGAAACTTCCCAGGGGGTCACCCATCCCAAGACTACTCCCGTGCGAGCACGCTTAACTTTGGAGTTCTTGGGTAATGAGCTCCCTTAAAAGGAGATGTACCTCTGTTGGTATGAGTAGTACTATTAATCCGTTTATATTATATCTCAAGTGTTACATTTAATGTGTATGACTACGGTGTACAACGTATGATTATATCGTTGGGTTTATTTGAGCAATTAACGTTGAGTTATAAACCGTGCACTTAAAGGTTAGACATATTCTAATTGTGGATAGAAATATACCTCAATTGAATATGGTGGTTGTAATAATGTCCTAATCTTCAATGGGGTTAATTTTAGATGAATGTGAACCGTGACGGGATTCACACGTAGAATTAATCACAATCTCGCTGCCATAACAGGAGTTAGAATACTTTAGCGACATTCCACTCATAAGAATTGGTGAAAGATTATACATTAATCGCTAGGAGTCGTTTAGGAGTAATCCCGAACCCTTGGTTGCTTTTATTATCACTTGAAAAACCAAAAATCTTTACTCTTTTACCAAGTCTCTTACAAATTATATTCTCAACTTTTGAACCATATAAACAACGTTTCCTCGTGTTCGACTCGGTATTTTTACCGGATTTTATTACTACATCGGCACTTGTACACTTGCAAGTTTAAGCCGATCAGCAGGCGTTGAACATTATGTCTTGCGCGTTCAGGAAACAAAGAACAACAGACGGAAATAAATCGAACAGCTTGCACCTCAACTTTGGTGTTAGGGAAGGGCCGAACAGCTTACATCTCAATCATGATGCTGAGTTGAATAAAAAAAAAAAGTGAGTGTTCGGGAAGCAAGTCATTCGGAAACGGATCAATCTTTATTCTTCGGCACTACTGGCCGGGAATTATACATGGGGAGAAGAAAGGGGGATTACAACAGAGATAACTAAGCTACGGGAGGATCCTTATTCGGCACAGCATCCGAGTTGGAGTTTGGGGGATTGGCTGAATCTTTAGCCTTTTGCCTCTTCTCCATCACACGTTGATAAGCACGGCAGAATAACGGATCAAAACCTTCCTCCTTGGGGTCGAAGGGTTCGTCAAAAGACTCCTTGATCACCTCCAGGTTCCGGTCGACCAGCATATCCTGGCACTTAACAAGGGTGTCTCTCGCCAGAGCATTAGCGAATGCAGTCCCGGACGGGGTCTCATCCAGGAGCTGGAGGCCATCACGAAGAGGATCCTTACTCTTCTTCAAGAACTCCCCAAGATGCTTTCCAAGGAACTCCCGGGCAGTCTCCTCCAGAGCTACGTTCAAACCTTTACCCCGTTGGAAATCAATCACTGCCTGCTGAGTGATTCTAGAAATATCGGCCTGAACGGGTGCTGCTGGCTGTCCGCCCTCTTTAGGCTGGGTCTTTTTGAACTTGACACCAGCAGCTTCGGCAGCAGCAATCTTGTCCTTCAGCGCCCGGATCTCCCGATCGCGACGCTGGAGCCTCTGCTCCAGTTCGGCCAATTCAGCCCTGGCCTTGTCACCCTTGTTGGCTCGATCTTGGAGATTTGCAGCCATTTTCCTAGCAGCAGCCAAAAGGGTTTGGCTCTCGTCCAGCTCCTGATGAAGAAGGGTCATCTCCCGTTCAGCTGCTAGGAAGGCCCGGTGATAGTATGTACCGGCCTGTGGAAAAAGAAACAGCAGTAAGAACAGGTCCAAGAAAAAAAAAAGTTATAAGAAGAAAGAACTGAACAGTCAAGGGCATACCTTAAGGGACTCAGCATGGCCTGCTTCGACCAGATCAGACCAATGGGTCAAGTTGGTGAAGCCCTCGCCAGCTTTTAAAGAAGTGCTGCACCACATGGAGGATGCAGTCTGCCCGAACAGCGTCCGGCATTCGGCTCGGGGACCCATGGCGGAAAACTCCACCGTCAACCGATCGGGGATCGGGAGACTATCTGAAGCAACGCCTCCCCTGTTGCCCAGCTTCCTTGAAGGGGAGGGGACCATGGGCATCCTTTCCACAGAAGGATCCGTCAGGTCAATGACCTGATCGATCGGGACCAAGGCGCCGCTGCTTTCGATTCTCGGCCGCTTGTTTACTGGCCCAGATTCCCGGCCAGCCAAAGAACCTGACTGAATAGCCTTCTCCTTTCCCTTGCTAACTATGGCGGTGGAGGAAGGAGTAGGAGCAGGACGCTTTATGGAGACGGGGGGAATCACACCTACAGGAAAAAACAAAGAAAAATGAACAAGATATTGAAAAATATACCGAACGAGCAAAGTAATGGAAGAATCATACCGATGCCAGCAGCTAGCATCTTAGCGGGAGTCAAGAAAGACCGTAGGTTCTTGGAACCGGCCAGACGGAGCCTTTCGTACTGGCAGAGAATAGATGCATCCACCCTGGGGGAGGCATCCTGAACGGGGTAAGTGTTCCACCGATCAGGAAAAGGAAGCGGCGACCCCACGTGTACGAACACAAATCTTTCCTCCCATTTTTCCGGAGGGGTGGGGTTATCTGTGAAGAGCGAACGGCCAGGACGGGCTACAAGCCGCAGGTACCCGGTGGTCCAATAGGGCTGAACGCCATAGCAGTGCAAAAAGAGATCGGCGCTAGGGGCAATCCCCAACTCATGGCACCAGACAATGAACCCATTCAGGATCCTGTAGGTGCTAGGCACGAACTGTGCCGGCAGTACTGACACCCGGCGGAGGAACTCCACAACGAACGGGTGCAAAGGGAACCGCAGACCAGCAATCAGGGCGTCCATATGCACCAACACACATCCCGGACGGTGTCGCATGGGATGTTTGATGAACCCCGCATTAAACTGACGGGGTGGAGGTAGTAATTGGCGCAGCGTCTGTTCGGCATCTGCTGGAAGGCGTTGACGCTGTTTCCTGATGCAGTGGAAGTTCAGACTATAGCGAGGGGGGCGTTCAGGCATACCCCTTTCGTAAACGACAAGGTCATCCCCCGACTGACATCCATCATCAGGGAGGGGCTGTTCGGGATGAAGTGAGGAAGAAGACCCGTTAGAACCCGACGATCGGGTAGATGTACCTTGATCTTTGGGGTGAGCTTTTCCCCTCGAATGGCGAATCAAAGTGGGTACCATCTCTTCGGAATCTGACGAACCAGAAAAGGCAGACATAAAATAACAGAGAAGATTCTAGAGAGAGAAAGCTTGAAGCAATTCAGAAGCAGCAGAAAAAACTGAAACAAAGTAGCTACATCCTTATATAAGGAAATGCTACCGCCAAGAATCCAAATGAATAACTGACAAGTGTCAAGACGGTTGGGAGAAGTTAAAGCATCCTTTGGGATAAGAGAACACCCGAACGGGTTGAAATCAACAAAGTTCACGAACCTCTACGATTGAATGATCGGTCCAAAGGCTACAAGCGTTTCCCCGAACGGGATACACCAAAATGTAATGAAGAATGATCGGTGTACCCGAACAGTATGGTTAGCTTACATGGAAAAATCTGGCAGATGCAACGAAGAAGGTAACACTACATCCCGAATGCTGAAGACAATTACCAACTAGTTAAAAAAAAAAAAAAAAAAAAAAAGAGACCTGCGGACATAATTGACGAGGAAAGTACAGGAGTTTATACCCCGAACAGATGGGGAGGGTAAAAAAAAAAAAAAAAAAAAAAAAAAACAGGAAGAAACATAGTTTATACTCCATAATGAACTATGGAGTTCATTATGAATGATATCGAATAAACAGGTCGATCAATATTAAAATCCTAAATTCTGGACTTAGCGAAGGGGTGACGCAAACCGGCAAATCTGATCGCTATAAACTATGGAGTCAACAGGAAGAAAGCAACAGGAAAAGAAATTACAAAGACAGAAGTTGCAAACAAGTTGTGTATTCATCGGCTCTACTGGCCGGAAAGTACAAAAAATACTAATTTAAAGAAAAAGGGGTACAGATGGAGGTCTAATCTATTTGTTCGGGATGATCCTCACCCTCTTCATCATCGTCTTCGTCAGCTTCTTCGACAACAACCTGCACGACCTCCATCCCCAGGGCTCGCCGGCATTTTTTCATTTGTGCCATCAGGGCGTTCAGATGACCCGGATGGAGGTCAGAGGGCAAGTCAGAGGGCTGCACCGAACGGCCCATCTGTTTTTCTAGGAGGGGGAGGAGAGGCTGGAGCATGTGTTGACAGCCTGAGCTGTAGACTCCCCGGGCAAGATTATCGGCCCACTCCTTGGTGATAGGGTGCTGATCAAGCACCCTGATCCCCTCCTTCTGGCGCTCTTCTCCGGCCAGTTTTTCCAGATGCCTCCCGAAGACAGCGGGGAGCTGTTCGGTGGCGTACTTCTCCTTCAGAGCCAGAAACTCCTCCGAAGTCTTGAAGGAATCCCGAACGGCGGAAAGATCAACTGTCATTTCGGCCGGTCCGTCCGGGATCTGAGGAGGAGCTTCAGAAAACTTGACCTGAGCGGCCTCAGCTGCCGCGATTTTGGCTTGGAGAGAGCCCACCCTGACACGAAGCTCCCCGGCCTCAGCTTCTAGCTTCTTCCGCTCCTCGGCAAATGCTCGCCGTTCAGCTTCCACTGCCTGCTCAGCTGTTTCCTTGGCCATCAGCAGGCTTTGTTCCTTTGCCTGCCTGGCCTCTCTGAGTTTCAGGCTGTATATTCCCGCCTAATGATCAGAAAGTAAAATATAAGCACATGATAAGTTATCAAGCAAAGAAAAGGAAAGAGTGAATTATGAGCATAAGATAATGAGCTACCTTCAGGACAGTCAGAGCAATACACTCCTCGGCCTCCTCCACCGGTATCGGAGGAAGATTGTGGCCATTGAGAAATCCTGACGTGGACCAGATCTGGCTCGCCGGACAGCCACCCCGCTCCAACATCTCATGAGCAGGATCGTAGAGGGAGATCCGCTCGAACTGACTAGCCAAGTCAGCCTGATGGGCAGCCACCTCCTCAGTAGAAAAATGGTGGGACTGCTGGTCGGAAAAAAGCTGATCCATCAGCGTGTCAGCATGAGTTTGCTGATCAGGAGCAACCTGCTGCACAGGTTCTACATCCCGAACAGGTTCAGGCTGTTCGGGGAGGAGGGGGGCGGGTTGGAAGGATGTCCCCTGATCGGCCTTCCTCAACCTCTTTCTCTTTGTCTTCCTCTGCTGCTTAGGAGGAGAGGTTGGTGGCTCGTCATCAAATCCAACAGTGAAAAGCCTGCTGTCATCCATGGCCGGTTGTTCGGGGTTATCTCCTTCGGACTCTGATTCGCCTTGCTGAGGAGCTGGCAAAACAAACAAAGCGCAAAATTAGTACCGAGCGGTTCGCACATGGATAAACAAAATTGTTTCTCACACGGGAAGGACCGCCCGGACCATGGTACTTGGTTTTCAGTCAAGAAACCCAGGAATACGGGCAGTACCTATCCCGGCTTTAATAAGCCGTTCGGGAGTCAGATATGGCATAATCTGGAAGCAACCACCCGCCTCCACAGCAATGATATCCTGGCTAAGGTCTTCAGAGATGAACGGTTCGGGGGACTTTGGCGGAAAGGCATTCCACTTTCTCGGGATTAGGCCGTTTGGGACAGATACAAAAAAGAACCGATCTTTCCATTCCTTGATGGAGGAGGGAGCCTTGGAGAACAAAATATGACCTGATCGGGAACTCGCGACAAGATAACCCTGGGCTTGTTGTGGGATGACCGAGAAAAAGTAATGAAACAGATCTAAGGAAGGGGTCACCTTAGCTTCCACGCAACGACAAATAAAACCAGCCATTGCCCGGTAGGAGTTCGGCATTATTTGGGCTGGCACTATATTGTAATAATTTAAGAGGGAAACGAAGAAGGGGTGAAGGGGGAACCTAAGGCCAGCCTTAAGGGAATCAAAATGGACCACGACCATCCCTGGGAAGTGGCGCATTGGGTGGAGCCCCGATTGGAGGCGGAAGTTCACCGAATCAGGAAGTAACATCTGGATTTGGGCCCGGTTCTGGGCCGTGAGCTTTTGGCGCCTAAGCCTAATCAGGGCTAGGTCAAGCTTATGACAGGGAACGCCGCTTGGAGGACCGGCTTTCATAACTTCCAATTCATCCCCCGATTTGGTGCCATCAGGGTAAACGTCGGAGGAGGAAGAGGAATCATCACCGTTAACTTCCGCCGGAATAGGGACAACTTGCAGCACATCGTTGGGGTTTTCCTCTGGGATTGCAGTGCCGGAAGTAGAGGGTTCAGATGAACGAAGGGGTGCCATTCTCACCGAACGAGGGAACTAAACAGTAGAAGGGAGTTCGAAGGATACCTGAACAGAAGCAGCGGAAGAAGCTCTAGAGAGAAGGCAGAGTACTAAGCCGGAGATATCAAATTTCGAAACCCAGAATCAAAACCAAAAGAGCCCATTTATACTCTGTCACGCCGATTCAGCTGCCAATCAGAAGAGGACACGTTTTTTGTAATGATGACAGAGACACGTGTCGCACAGAGAATCCTTCTCAAGTAATCATGACGTTTATCGGAGAAGCGAAACGGCAGTTGCAAATAACCGTCAGAACATGCCTCGGGAACCGGCGGAAGTCCATCCGATACTCACCCGAACAGCATTCGGGCAATAATCTTCTACTTCCTTATGCGCTCACTACCGTTCGAGACATAGGAAGTGGGGGACTAGTGTTGGGATATTGGGTCCAGGCCCAATATCCCTAGGCCCAAATCCGGGAAGAAGCTGCAAGCCCAAAGAACTCCCGAACGGCATTCGGGATAAAACTTATACTTGGAACATTCTGGGTAACGATTATGCCAAGGTATCAAGGCCCAAATATCGATCGGCGTTCGGGATACTTCAGGTAGAAATTCTCCTATGGCAGGGTCCCGCACACCGAACACCTTGCCCGAACGGGCAGCCACCAAGTGGAGGCCGCATTTAATGCTGGATCATGACAGCTGCAAGTGGGGGCATGGGTGCTTACATGGCAGAGGTGATAGCCTACCAGATTCGACCACGTGTCCACCTTACCCATCCCCATTTTAGTATAAATATCCATGTTTAGATCATTGTAAAGGGTTAGCATTTTAATACTCAGAGCTTAGCAATAGATTTACATCTCCCATCCTTGTAATCTCATATTCATCTACCGTTCGGGTAGTTTCAGTGTAACTGCTTAATTACAGAATATAAATAAGTTCTTGAGTTGGATATTATTTCACTATTTTATATTTTACACACATTTCAACCCTACCCAATATCCCTACAATATCCAAGGCTTGTGTTGGGCTTTCGGATCTTCGGGAATAAACCTCAACAAACCCATAATTTGGAAACACAAAATCATACCATGTAGAACCTCACAATTGTCACCATCAGTTTAGCCAAAGAGAAACATCCACATAATCGTATAAATAGAAAAACAAAGAGAGAGAGAGAGTTAAGTATATAAACAAATATTTCATTAGCCTAAATATGTGATAGGTGCTTCAAACAAATTTGGAAGGATGAGCTCAAGCATTTTTGATCGATGACATTTCCTCGCAGATGGAATAAGAGGACTTCAAGGAGATGTGACATCTTCTCCGTCATGGATATTAGAGTTTAACACCTAGTATCCTCCACATACATATCCAAATGTTGAGACAATTTTGAATCTACACCTCAGTTTGGCCCACAATCCTCAACAAGATAATCAACTCATCATTAGTGACAAAATTGGGGTTTCCCAGATCTAGACACATGGTTTACAAAAATGCTTCAACTGCTATTGTGTTTTCCAATGATCTCACCGGTATGATGCGATGCCATTAATAAAGTTAGGGGTCAACAAATGAAGATGTGGTGGAAAGAGGAGACGAGGACAAAGATTAAAGGCAGAGATGAACACGAAGATGGGTGAAGAGAGGAGACAATTAGAGAGAAAGAGTGAGTGAGTGGGGGTTGGGAAAATAATGTAGATGATATGTAACCTGTTTGGTGACATTTTTTTTGGCTTATCAACCTTATTAGTCAATTTCTTCACCAAACATGTAATTTTTGATTTCGTGTGCTGAATTGTGTATTAACCAAAATAAATAAGGTTGAAATTACTTTTCTGACTGAATTGGTTGAAATTACTGTAGAGTACCATTTAACTATTTTATGGCTGAATTGGTTGAACTTCATCAACTTTAACGACATCAGTCGATTCAGTCAATTTTAATGTTACCAAACGGGCTCAGAAATGGTAAGGCACTTTAGTTTCTAGACAAAATAGAAATATAACTACTTTGTATCATTTTGGGACAATCCCACGAGGGAAAATTCGCTAAATAGGAGTTAAAGAGTTTTGAAATTGCAAAATATGACTGCATGTTTTTATTTCCTAAGTGTGCGTAATTTCTGCCAAGTTTGGCATTACCGCGCCTTAAACATGACAATTTTTTCCAAATTTGATAGAATGTACTCCTATTTAGAAAAAACATGAAGGTCTTATTTTAAAATTTCAAAACCTTTTTATTCCTATTCAACACAATTTCTAATTCATGTGATAGAATCTAATGTGCTCACAGTTGTTCAAGGAAGCCAATCGTGAAGCCATCTTAGGAGTGTTGAAAGAAGACTGTAATTTTGTTGAGATAGAATCTGTTGCGCTCACGGTTGTTCAAGGAATAAAAAGGGGAATGCAGCTCTTATCTGGACCTGATAATCGATGATATCAAACACCTTATACAAATTAAGAGTGATATTGATGTTTCAATCCCAGATTTTGTTGTAGGTGAGGTAGCAAATGATATGCTAAATCAATGAAGGTTGAAAGTTTACATTAAAAACAATTTCTAATTCATAATTTTGCGCAAATTATATCGTGCAACCGGCGCACCATGAGGATGGTGCGCCCGGTTGCAAAACGACGGAGTATTGTACCTGGTTTCTTTATTTTTTATTGCTTTTGTTGTTAAAAAATGGTAATAACTTTTTTATTTTTGATCCGATTTTTATAAAATTTATATCAATATTTTTTATTTTTCATGATCTTTCAAATGAGACCAATATTGCTTATGTAATTTTAAGAAATTATCGAACTATTATATTAATGAGTATTGCATTATAAGGAAAATCGAACTAAATTTAATACAAAAAAATAATTGTGTAATCCACAATTTATCTTAAAATTGTGTATATAAAAAATTTATTGTATTATGTATTTATACATGTGAGTTACATATTTCTACACGCGAGTTACATATATATACACACGAGTTGCATTTGACCTGCCTGAACGCGAGTTACATATATTTACACGTAAAGTTACATATTTTTACACGTAAAGTTACATATTTATACACGCGAGTTACATATTTATACACACGAGTTGCATTTGACCTGTCTCAACGCGAGTTACATATTTTTTACGTAAAGTTACATATTTTTACACGTAGAGTTACATATTTATACACACGAGTTGCATTTGGTCTGACTGAACGTGAGTTACATATTTTAACACGTAAAATTACATATTTTTACACGCAAATGTTAATATGTTAAAATTACATAGGCAATATTGGTCTCATTTGAAAGATCATGAAAAATAAAAAATTTTGATATAAGTTTTATAAAAATCAGATCAAAAATAAAAAAATTATTAACATTTTTAAAAAAAGGAGAAATAAAAAATAACAAAGCCAAAATATACGAACTGCTTCTTCGCTCTCTCAGGTATACCATGCGCACCGTGGGACGGTTGCATGGTATACGAACTGATAATTTTGGGATTGAGACCTAGGAAGGCGAGGAGTAATAAAATACACGGAGTAACTACTAAGAGAGAGTTTGCG